TCTCCCCAGGAGTAGAAGTAGAATAGAAACAGAAAGAAGTAGAAGTAGAAGTAGAAGTAGTAGAAGTAGAAGTAGAAGTAGAAGTGTAGAAGTAGTAGAAGTAGATGATGGCTGCGTCTTTGATAGTAGAAGTAGAAGTAGAAGTAGAAGTGTAGAAGTAGTAGAAGTAGATGATGGCTGCGTCTTTGATGTTCTAGATCTTACCTGAAAAAAACCCATATGTATGCAAATGAGTGTCGAGGAAAAAAGCTGTTAATTACTCAGAAAATACATATTTTTAACATTTACTAAAACTGTCAATACCGTTTGAAAAAATAGTGAACATACACCTTTGCTAGCAAGCTGTTTCTTGATAGCAAAGATATGAATTCATTATTTTTAAAATTTTTACGTTTTTCAAATTTTTCAAGTAATGAATGAGTTTCTTGCTAAAACAAACAGAGGGAATGCAATAAACCTTAAATGATTGCCACTGGATTTTAGGTCTAAAGTTCCCTTTACAGAAACATGTCTGGTTTCCCCCTTAGCCTAAAAGGCTCTAACTTACAGCATACCTACAAACCAGTCAGCACTGCTGCCCCTCTCCAGGTACGAAGGAGAGGGATGCTGTTTGTCAGTGTGTGCAGAGGGTGTTGTGTCTACTCTGTTCCCTTTCAGTGGCTGGCCAAGGGGTTGCCTGTTTGCCTTGCTGTGCCTGCTCTACTCTGGTTGAAGGAGAGGCCTGAAAGCCATCTGGAGTGTGAGTGCATGACCCAGCAGGCAGGAGGCCTGCAGTGAGGGCAGATACTAGGAGATGCCTGAAAGAAGCAGAAAATGACAGAGCCAAGCCTCTGAAGCAACAGAAAAATTCTTTCTTGGAGACCCAGAGGCACCCGGGGTGAGGTTGTGCAAGACAGCTGGGACAATCTGACAGCTTTCTGACACCAAAAGTGACTGTTTCATGCTGCTTCAAAAAGCTGGGGGAGTTAAACACAAGAACTCATGCAAAAGAAGGAGCAGACAACTACAGTCAGAGAGGGAAGTAAGCCTAGCCTTTGGGGCAGCCACTAGTTTAAATTTCTCAGGAATATTTAGCCTGTGTGGAGCCTGCTGCAACCCAAAATGCCATGAAATATTGCTGGACTAAGACAAAACATTGTGAGGATGAAGTAGATTTGCTTAAAAGGTCTGCTATATTATTATATTCTCACTCATAAGAAACTGAGTTTCCATATTTCAAATGTTTGTCCTCATTTAGCTAAACTTAAATGTAGCCTTTAGAAGTTTACAGCTCTCTGGGTGATTATGGTGTGTCCGCTGTAAAGAAAAGGTCCAGGTAGTCTCACCTCTAAGCTTTGGAAAACCCAAGGTCCTTTCACAGTTAGTTTAAAGAGATCCTAGTCTGGATTACTTGGATTAAGGAGGTCAGGGAGCAAATTTGAGGCAGCAATTGTCTTTGGCAGAGATGAGGTGAAGACAGCAATAACCTATGGAGCCATTACAGTTGCGGCTGCAAAAGAACCTGTGTCCATATTCTCTGTAAATAGCACTTCATCACTTAACATTCGAAAATGTGTGATTACTCTGAAGTCTACATACAATCTCAGAAAAGACATTTTACAGAGGAAATGGAAAACTAATTGTATGAAAATGCTTTTAATAACAGTAGTTTCAGATTAAATCAAAAGGAAGATTCACCTTAGCCTTGCTTTGAAAAAGCACAGATGGGGCAAGACATGAGGCTGATATCATTCTTCTGGAAGATAATTTTTCATTCTCTTTAATGGGATTGGAAACTAATAAAAAATAAACATTTTACTAGAAATAGATAGTTCCATGGACTATAGATGAAACTAAAAATCCAAGCAAGAAAAAATATTAAGAGAGATGTGCCTTAAGAAGCGGATGTTTTATTATAGCCAAGGTTTCCAGCCTGTACACACATAAGCATAGACAGACTGAGAGGCCTGGAAAAGGAAATCCTTTAAGGAGGGTTGGGTAACATCAGTTGGGAAGCTATAAGGTATCACAAATCAGAAATGACTGATAACTGTATCTGTAGAAACAAATTCAAAACAGTCTAGAATGACAACTTAGTCAAAAGGAAATACAATTCATCATTTTCTGAAAATAAAATTAAAAAAAAATATATTGGAGGAATCAGTCAAAAGTAATAGTCTTCACAGACTAAAATAACTTAGGTTCCATCCAAGGTTTTTACTGCTTTTCAGAGGTGTTTCTGTGCAACTATTACCTCCTAATGACTAAATCCAGTTTAAGCCTTTTAACCATCAAGATTATCTGAGCTCATCTCTCCAAGTCATATTGCTATAATTTCTCTGAAAAATGTTGTTTTAGAAGCCAGAAGCCCTTCCCCATGTTGAGCTTGAAGTCAGGCTGCATTTCTCTCAGCTTACTCATCATTCACCACCATACCATCTAACTAAGTGGATTGAATCTTGGCCACATCACATTTAAAATGAGTCACATAAAGCATTTTTTAATGCAGTTCTTTTAAGATTGCTTGGAACTTTGAGATGTTACAACTCAAATGGCAAATTGTATCTAGAATGCATTTGATATTTACATGAGACCTCACAATTTTATATCTTTCCTGTCTGAGAGAAAAAATTTCAAGTTGAGCATGAAATGGATGTAATGCAGATCAAACATCACCTCCTCTTTTTTAATTCACATGACCTTTTAAGATATTTTTCCAAGGGATTAGGAGAAAACATGAAGATAGGTATCCAGTAATCCCAAATTCTGGGATTAAAAAGCATGGGAAGGGAGAGGAAAAAGGTCCAAGAGTCTGGGTGGCAGGTGTGCCTGTACCTGCATGCGGGAATGGCCTATGTCCTGCAGTGGACGAAGTCTATGGAAACACCAGTCCTCCTGACTTCCTCCATGGAACATCCCCTACTCCTGTGCCTCCACAGGAGGCTGAAATGATCATTAACCTGCCATGGATGTTATTGCTGTGTTATGTCCAGTCACATACTTCTAGATTGCAGCAGTGGACTCTTCATCAAGCAAGCAAGACTCACCCATTTAGGAGAATCACATCATCGCTCCTGGTTTCAAAGGTTTTCAGACATTCCAAAGTTTTTGGTCTGCTAAGAGCCCTTAGGCTACAAAATGCCTTTGCAGAAAAAAAAACCAACGGATCTTGAGATGCCATCTTTTCATCCTAGTGAAGGATGAAGTGAAGCCTTTTGAATATTTCAGTGACTGTTTCCCCTTTTCTTGTCTGGCTTGCTCCCTTGTTCAACTCCTCGCAGACAATGCAAAGCATACCGCTTTCTGTTATCTAGATAGCTTTTGATATCACCATATAGGAAATAGTAAAAGGTATGTATTAAGGACTAGATTAAAATGTTGCTAATCCCAAAATTATAGGTCACAGTGGCTTGTTTCTTTTCATCCATGGAAGCCCAGAGTCAGATGAAGTCCTACTGTCCTACTCTTCTGGGATTGAAAATCTGCAAACCCAGAATCGTCAGGTTCAAACAAACACACCTCTTCATGCAGAGCAATTTCACATGGGTACAGAAGTTCAGAAAATCTAACTGAGAAGCAGCCCTATTAGAGCCATATCTGCAACATTCCTCATTATTCCTATCAGGGAGACATGGAGCAGGGCCTGGCAGCCAGGGCCTGTCCCACCACCCCAGCCAGGAGCAGCGCAGCCGTGGGCACCGGGACAGCCCAAGCCCTGGGCATTTAGCACCTCCCTGGGGATGATGATGGGCTGGGGATGGTTCAGGACATTGGCTCGTGGATGGGTCCAGCTTAGCAGGCCCCGTAGCCAGACAGCGCAGGCTGTGAAGAGCTGGAAACCGACTTTGCTGCAGCATTGCTGAGGCACAGGTTGATGGTCCTGGCGACTGACATGGGGTCCAGGGCCATGGGCAGGGGAGGGGGAGCCGTGAAGGCTGGACTATGACAGTCATGGCTTTGACAGGGCCTTACCAATTTCCCCATTTTGTTAATTACTTTTTTGGTTGCTGGTTGTTCAGTTTTTAATCTTAGTTCAGTGTGAGAGTCCTGCAGATATATCTGTCTGGGATATGGCAGAGGAATTCCTCTTCCAAGGAACTGAATTCCCTTTGCCAGACGGAGTCAACATTTCCTTAGCTTTTCTGGTTTTCCAAAAGAGTAGTTGTGACAAGAGGTCATGCAGCATGTTCTGCACAGATGCAGCAAGGACATCTACACCAGAAAGGAGGGTGTGGAAATCATATCTATGTGGCATAAATGTATTTACTGTTGAACAAATGCAGCTTTAATAGTTTACTAACAGGGTCATCAAGGGGCTTCTTTCCCCCTATCCTTCCATTCAAAAGTCATGATTCTTCCCACTTGCCATTTACCTGTCCCCAAAGAAGCCAACGGGAGAAAAACTCTCTGGAAAACATGTAGTTGTTCATTACTTAAGAGTTCATGCCAGTAAGAGCTCAAGAAGTCCCATCCTGCACCCAAGCGAGGAGTTTGCCAAAGCGTCAAAGCCCTTTCTGGCCTCACTGCACAAATGTCAACACCATGGTAGCCATGGTGGATCTAAATCCAGACTATCATGTTCTCTCCATACACATACATTTGGGGATTCAGACTCACACCACAAATCCACATCAAGCCCACTGTGCTGGGAGAAGGCCCTGTGTTGGTCCCTCTGCCTCATCATTGAGCACCATAGGGGCCTCATTCACCATCTCAGGCCATGAAGCAACACAGGGACACCACCAGACTGTCGCTATGATATCTGTGCACCATCTCTCTCCTGGAAGGATGTCAGGCATTCACTTGAGGCATAGAGACATTTTATTTGGTTACATCAAGCAAAGCACATGCCCTAGGCCCAGCATACACCTAAAGACTACCACCTGAATTACTTGGAGATACCAGGTAGATCTCTGAGGGCTTTCCCTCTTTTCTCATGAGGAGGAAACATAGGGACTCTCCACCTTTGATGAATCATCATTGGAGCATGAACTGCTGTTATGCTGCTCATCTGCTGATTTTCAGGCCTTGCAGTACACATCGTATTTAATCTTTGCCGCCAGCTTCGTTCCTCCTAGGGAGTCTTCAAATTTTCGGTCCATTTCTTCATTCTGAGCTGCAGAGAAGAGATCTCTCCAGTTCCCAACAACCCCTGTGTTCAAAAAGAAGTACCAAAAACTGAAGGCAACCACTTCCGAGAGAGAATAATACCTAGCAAGAGATGGAGCAGAATCATTGCCCACATGATTTTATGCCTCTGAGAGGTCTCTGTTTTATGCCTCTGAGAGGTCTAATTGACCAGGAAAGGCAAGGTAGCGATGATAAGAAGTAAAGGCTGCAGACAGACCACAGGGAGCATTGCTGGTGGGCTGCCTGCATGCCTTCCCTTGCCAGAGAGGGTTTCCAAGGTATTTTCATTACGCTTTAAATACACAGAAGAAAGGGGAAGCTGGTTTTGCCACAAAGGAAAGCTCATTCCTGAATGCCTCCCTCTGAAGGTGGAGAAGTTATTTGGAGTAGTGGGTAGATGGTAGAGAGGTGAGTGGTAAAATACTTCTTCCTCCAAGGAGTAGTGAAGAAAAGGGATTAAAGCAAGCCCATGACCATGGTAGTGCAAAACCAAAGACTCTTGACGACATGGGGAGAAGTTGGGCTGATAGAGCTCTGGCTCTGGCCCCAGGTCTGTGAGGGACCATCTCTGAGGCCACCACTGACACATCCATTAAGAGGAACCATATTGAGACTACACCTCAGCTCTCACTGATTATGTAACAAGATGTCTGTGAGGGAAGCAGAGCAGTAAGCAATACTTTCCCTTGAGGTTCAAGAGACCCTTGTCCCATTACCACATCTCCTCCTCACAGAGGGGACTTTCATGAAGTGACATGGGCTGCCTGGATCCATGATCCATGATCCATCAGCCTCATCACCTGACTACCAGGCAACAGCCACACCACAACCCTTCTGTAAAGAGTTACTTGTTGGCATAATGTACACCAGTGTTGGTCCCCGCCTTTACACCTCACTTGCCTAAATAACCAGGGCTGCCACAGGGAAACAGAGCAACATGGAAGCAATGACTGAGGACCTTAATCCTGGCACTCTGGTACATTTCTCACAAACAACCCCCAAATCTCATCAGCAGCAGAAGCTTCATGTATAAGATGCCACAGGAGAGAACTCAGTCACACTTGTCTTTCCTAGCCAGTCCAGTGAGTTCATTTCTAAGTGAGGAAACCTACTCAGAACTCTTTCTGGAGTTCTACTTTAGAAGGTTGATTCTCCATTTGCAGAGACTTACCCTTCCGGAAGAGGATGTCCCCAAACTTTCCATGAGTTTCCTTGGATTTCTCTTTCATAGCTTGAAAACTAGTGTTCTTGGCAATTATGTGAAAATCTTCCTCACACAGGGAGAATCCAAAGAAGTCAGCAATCTTTTTCATTCCCAGTACCTGGTTCTGGCCAAAGAAACATAGCACGGAAGTGAAACCAAAAGACTTGACACCGTGGCTGTGGCATAGAGCCTCGGTGGGCCTCCCCCAGACATAAAAGAGTAGCTCAGAAAGGCACACCCTTCTAAAGGGGCAGACAGGCTTGACCCAAGAGTCTCTTCTTATCCACAGCCATACGTATCAGGAGGGGTGCACAGTGCACTCATCAAGGAAAAGCTGGCTGAGATGCCCCACCTCTTTGAGTTCCTCATAGCTTATCATCATGATACTCTCATGGTTGATGTATTTGTTCCATTCCACTAAGTGATCAAAGTAGGATCCCCAGGTCACTGCAAACAAATAAGAGACATAATTGTAGAGAGTATTTTCCAAAACAGGCCCTTACCAAATCAGAGTCAGCCCAGACAGCTCTCTAAGGGTGACATCAGGGTGGTGAAGTGATGACCAGCTCAACATGTCTGTTCTTTCAGTTGAGGTCAGTGCAGGATCCTCCAGCTCTGGCCACTAGGTAGCACTGAACCACAACCTCTATTGCAGGAACAGAAAAGTCAGGCTAAAGCTTTCTCATCATCTCTCTGCTCTGAGTTAGAGACAAAAGAAACTCTGATTGTTTGGTGCTCCCTGTTTCTGCCATAACACAGGCCTATCTGTGTGTCCTGGGACTGCCTTGGTAAGGTATGTTTGAGACTCAGGCATAGGTCATGTATATGTGTCTCATGTAAGGAGGAATGACAGAGGATGCAGGGCAAAGTACATTTCCCATTCATGAAGGCTGCAAAGTACTCATTCCAGGAGGGGAAGGATGGCACCAGAGGCAAGTTGTTGTAGAAGTGGTAATAGGAGACAGCCGTGTCTTTGGGGTTCCGAACTAGTGCAAGGATCTAGAAGAAAACACAAAATTTGGTTCTGATTTGATGACTGAGCAAAATGCCATCTTCTCAACACATCACATAGAATTATAGAATCATAGAATCATTTAGGTTGGAAAAGACCTTTAAGATCTTTGAGTCCAACCATAAACCTAACACTGCCAAGTCCACCACTAAACCATGTCCCTAAGCACCACATCTACATGTCTTTTAAATACCTCCAGGGATGGTGACTCAACCACTTCCCTGGGCAGCCTGTTACAATGCTTGATAACTCTTTCGGTGAATAATTTTTTCCTAATATCCAATCTAAACCTTCCCTGGAGCAATTTGAGGCCATTTCCTCTCATCCTATCACTTGTTACTTGAGAGAAGAGACCACCACTCACCTCACTACAGCCTCCTTTCAGGTAGTTGTAGGGAGCGATAAGGTCTCTCCTCGGCCTTCTTTTCTCCAGTCCAAACAGCCCCAGTTTCCTCAGCCATTCCTCATCAGACTTTGGCTTTAGACCCTTCACCAGCTTCATTACCCTTCTTTGGACACACTCCAGCAACTCAATGTCTTTCTTGTAGTGAGGGGCCCAAAACTGAACACAATATTCGAGGTGCAGCCTCACCAGTGCAAAATACAAGGGGATGATCACTTCCCTAGTCCTGCTGGCCTCACTATCTCCTGATGCAAGCCAGGATGCTATTGGCCTTCTTGGCCACCTGTGCACACTGCTGGCTCATATTCATCCGGCTATTGACCAACACCCCCAGGTCCTTTTCTGCCCGGCAGATTTCCAGCCACACTTCTCCAAGCCTATGGTGTTGCATGGAGTTGTTGTGACCCAAGTGCAGGATCCGGCACTCAATCTTGTTGAACCTCATACAGTTGTCCCTATTGATCCAGCCTGCCCAGATCCCTCTGTAGAGTCTTCCTACCCTCAAGCACATCAACACTTCTGCCCCACTTGATGTTGTCTGCAAACTTATTTGCCCACTAACATCCACCACCCATCAGCTTGTCTAATTCCTTTTCCTGAGCAAGAAATCAGTTTTGCAGGTCACTTTCTGATAATGTGAGCTTCAGGCTGAAAACAAGAAGTTTTTCAGTGATGTCCTTGGGGCATAGTTTTGAGCTAGTTCCAATCCAGAGAAATGAGCTCATGGGCTACTGAACAGGAGAGCCACAAATAGGCTGTGGGTGTACCCTTACTTCTCTCTGCAGCAATTCCCACTGAAGACTATCTTAGCTCCAGCTTGTGGTGGGCTTTCTGCAGGTACTCTGTTTTTGGAGGCAAATTAAAGTAAATGGAATAAGTGCATAACTTGCTCAGTTTTCTGATGCAAACCTGGAAGTATCTTTCTGAAGAAGATCTGAAGGGGCAGTGATACCCAGCAACAAGTCCACTGAGTCAGAAAAGCTGCTGCTGGGAGAGGATGTTTGTTCACAGCCTCAGCCCACAGCACTCTGCCTCTTCAACCTTGGAAATACGCCTGTGTGTTGACCAGCCCAGGTGTAAGTGCAGAAAACACAGACAGAGGAAAGCTAAGTTGGGGTGGAAAGTTTTTGCAGTGAGATGCAAAGGGAAGACTCACCTTAGCCTTGTTTTGAAGAATGGATGGGGGTAGGAGATGAGGTGGCAGATGGGTTACTATAATTCTTCTGGAAGGCAGTTTCTTCATCCTCTTTAAAGCAAATGGGAAGATATGTGACAGAACAGAAGTAGCTTATTCAGTGACATGTGCCCCTTCAGGAATTGTGGGTAATAATAAAAGTTGAGACCAAAGCAGAAGGATCTTATCCCTTGGAAAACCCACAGAGATGCACTGGTGGTATGGGCTTCCACCAGTGTCTGTCACAGAGCACCATTTCACATGAGACAGGCCTGAGGACAGGACACCCAAAAGAAAAATTTTATTGATCAAACCCACTGAATCCAGGGCTGGAGCCCTGTGTGGCTTCTCAGCACTGTCTGCACTCTGAGGCCCTTGCATTGGGAAATGAAGGGCAATAGCATATGTTACTTGTGCAGACCATAAAATAGCACGTTACTTGTGCAGACCATAGCTGTTGTTAAGGCCCTAGGCTCCCCATTACCTCTGAGATCAGCCATTGCCTTTCAGCTATTTCTACCTCTAAGAAGAATAGTGCCAACATTTTCAGCTTTTGCCAACCTCATATATCCCAGGATCCCCAAATTCTAGACATGGAAATGTCTGTAGCTTCTTTTCAGCATTTATTCTCTCTTCCATTTCTTCTTCTGTATATTTGGCATCTGCTGATTCCAACTCCTTCACAATTTCACTAAGCCAGTTGTTTCCTGAAAGGATAAAGACACCAGTAGCACATCCATTCAACTGTACTTTTTTATGTCAACCTGTCTGACAGGATATCCTGTCAAACTGCTTCACATTTGTGAATCAACTTGGCTCTACCTTGTACTTTAGCTTGTCAATAGGTGAGTGTGATGGTTTTGGCTGCAATAGAGTTTATTTTCCTCATAGGAGCTGGTATGGGGCTACGTTTTGGATTTGTGCTGGAAACAGTGTTGGTAATACAGGGATGTTTCTTACTACTGAGCAGTTTTTACATAGTGTTAAGGCCTTTTCTGCTTCTTGCACCACCCCACCAGCAAGTAAGCTAAAGGTTCAAAAGAAGCTGGGAGAGGGCATAGCTGGGACAGCTGACCCCAGCTGACCAAATGGATATTCCATAAGGTATGACATCATGTTCAGCAATAAAAGCTGGGGGAAGAAAAAAAAGTGGGGATGTTTGAAATGATGGCATTTGTCTTCCTGAGTAACCATTACACATGATGGAGCCCTGCCTTCCTGGAGGTGGCTGAACACCTGCATGCTAATAGGAAGTGGTAAATGAATACCTTGCTTTGCTTTGCTTGCTTTAAAGCTTTTGCTTTACCTATTCAACCATCTTTATCTCAACACACAAGTTTTTTCACTTTTACCATTCTGTTACTCTCCCCATCCTACTGAGAGGGAATGAGCAAGTGGCTATACAGAGCTTAGTTACCAGCTGAGGTTAAACCATGACACTAGACAATAATCAACAGGGTATGTCAAAAGCCAATAGGGACAAAGCTGTCAGCCAGATGTTGTGGAGTGCTACCCTGCCCACTATAGAAGCACATTCCACCCCTCATTGGAAACAGAAGCAGACTTTTATTGCTCCTTCCAACTCTGTCACCTTTTTGTCACCTCAGACTACTCCCTGTGGAAATTACTCAAAAGCGGTGGAAGTTCCAGCACAGGGCCAACTGAGTTGTCCCTTGGCTGTTTCTGCTCTCCTTCCACACTGCTGTCTTTGGGAACACTTTTCTCTTCTCCCGACCAGCTGCAGTTTATAGTCTCTTCATGATCAACACAGTTTGGCCTCATTCCCAGCGCCCAGTTAGGCTTCTATAACTGTCACCAGAAGGAGTAATCAACTAACCACCAGACCATGAAGCTCCTGTCACCATCTGTGCACCAGGCTTAGCTGTCTTGGCCTCTGCAACCTGGCAAAACTGATGTGTAAGGGACTGGGCTTGGAGAGCCAAGTGTTGGTTTTCAACACCTTCTGGGACTCATAGGTGGACTCTTACACCTTTAAACAATTTCTGCCTATGCACAGCTCTACAGGCTGTACACAAAGAGGATGTGATAAGGATCAACAATTCCTCTTTTTTTGAAAAAGATATTAAGATATTTCTATAAAGTGAATAGAAAAAACAAAGGAATCTCAAATGCCCATAGTGAAAGAGAGAGGAAATAATCACAGAATCACAGAATAGTAGGGGTTGGAAGGGACCTCTGGAAATCAAAACCCAGAGGTCGCTCCCATAATCCAAGAGTCCTGATGGCATTCATGTCCTCCCCTCCATTTAGATACATGGGAACCACCTGCACTCTGCAATGCAGTAAGTCTATGGAAGCAGCAGTTCTTCTACCCTTATTAGCAGGATATATTCCCTTTATTTTCCTTGCAGCAAGTAGGGTAACAACTTTCCTGTATTATCAAGAGTGGTCAGAATATCAAGGGATTGTGATTAACCTGCTTTACTCAACACTGGTGAGTTCACCACTTGAATACTGTGTACAGTTCCTGCACTGAAGCACAAATGAGTTTGAGAATCTGAAGAGAGTCCTGATGAACACCCATGAGAGCATTGGGAGCTGGAACAAATGAAATGCATAGAAAGGCTTGGTTTACTCAGGCTGGAGAAAATAAAAATATAAAGCATCGGGGAATGTCACTGCAGTCTTCCACTACTGGAGGTTAAAATGAAGACAGCACCAATTCTTCTGAAAACTGGCCAGGAAATTACAAAAGGGGCACATTACAAATCACAACAAAGGGATATCTGACTGCATAGAAGTAAGAAAACCCAAACAAACAAACAAAAAATGCTAAAAACCCACTATAGTGGGAAAATACTGCAATAGATTTCAAGTGGATTGTGAATCTCCACCCTCAAATTTTTATAACTCTTCTGGACAAAGCCTTAAGCAACCAAATCTAACTTTGAAGGTTAGGTCTTTCCCCTGCTTTGAGCAGGCAATTGTATTATTCAACCTCCAGAGATGCCTTATAACTTAAATTCATGATCCTATGAAGTCTGATGTCATCATAATTTTTTCTTGTATATTATTGCTGTGTTAACTAATGGCACAAACTTATGGATTGCAACATTGTGTGCTTGACTATTTATCAAGAAGACAACACTCACCTGTTTTAGGATAGCCTGCTAGGATCACATCATCGCTCCTGGCTTCAAAGGACTTCAGAGCTTCAAAAGTTTCTGGGCTGCTAAGTGTAGAAGGGTATAAAATACCTCTGTAGGAAAACACCATGTCTTCTGGGGGAATCTTTTCACTCTGCGAAAAAGCATTTTCCAATACTTCAATTAATCTTTGCCTATTTCTGTTCATGTTTGTAATCCTATGGAACTCCTTTCAACCAAACAGATACAGATTGTCTTTCCACAATGCAGAAAAACTTTATACAACTTATGAGGAGATCTGATAGGGCATTCACTCAGGAGCAAAGGTACAAGTCACTGATTAACTCTACTCTGTTAACTCCTTTCAAAATTATAGGGCTGGAGACTGACAATAGCAACAGAGGTTTTTGCTGCAGCTGATACTAGGAACAGGAATCTATTGGGGCAGCAACTAATAGCATTCAAAATGTTAGATGAAACCAAAGACCTATGAAGGATATTCCCTGAAATTAACTGGTGAGCAATGCAGTGCAGTTTGCAAACTGGACAACCAGCATGTAGTGGGCATGTGGATAGTGGATCTCAAGCTAGCTTGCTATTGACTCCACTAATGGATACACATCCAAGGGTGAAATTTTCTTCTAGTGGTGGCTCTTTCCTGCAGCCAACCACTGTAACATCATCACTTCAGGCAGAATCTTCAGAGCTAGGGACAAGTGCCACCTAAACCATACTTCTCATGGTTAAATACTCACATTAGAGACATTTACTTCACCAAATCCTACAGGATGGTTATTTTCATGTGAAGCTCTAATACTTAGGTTCTGCATTAATGCTAACCAAATTCTGCCTATATGACTTCATTTCTATTTCTCTCTACATATGTCCATAATTTAGTCTGCAGGTGAAATTGGTCTTGATGGGGGAGTTATTGGTATTCCGGTTGATGCCTTTTCATAAGACAAAGAGTACTGAGGTGGTGAAATAGGTACCTCCACAGGTAATCCCAACAGAGACGTGCAGTACAGGAAGGCTAAATTACTCTGTGAAGGGGCTTTGCACTCTTTCTTTCTCTCATGCCCTTGAATATATATCACATCCTTGTCTTTCTTCATAAATGAATGTTAGGCACTTAGTAAACCTATACATAAGTTTAATTAAGCATGAGGAGTTGTTAAATCAAAAACACAACTGTAAAACCTGGAAGATTGCTCAGAATTACCTACAAAGCATAATTTAAAATTATTTTTCTGGTCTCCCAGAATGCACAACCACCAAAATAGACCATTTTTTTAGAAATATTTTTCTCTAGCAGTGATCTTTTGCTCATAAAAACTGAAGACACCATTCATATATTATGCCTTCTGACAGCTTTGTTATTGTTTTCAGCTTTCTGTCCACATGTTTACTCTGAGTTGCAAAGAAAAATCTCCTCCCATTTGCCAATACTAAAAAGTAAGAGCATCAAGAAATTATCATTTTTCCTCCTGCCTCCAGAGCCAGCTGTCTGAACCCTGAGGGAGTCATATCACTATAACACCTCAACATAAAATCTAACAACCTGTCACCTGAGCCACTGAAGACAAGGGTGACTCTGGGTTCTTTAACCCTTGGACCCTGATCTCTGCTCATGAGTGGGGCCCTCAATGCTGTCACAGATGCTGGCAGGCTGCTCAGGAGCTGCAGAGGTGAGGGCTCAGAGCAGGCCTGTCTTAGCAGGCCTAAGGGTCTAGCAGTGATAAAGTTTGAAGGCTATGAGCACACTACTGCAGCCAAGTTCATAACAGCCACGTAAACATGTGTGTATTCCTGAACGTACTCCTGCTGATGACCCCATTTCTGGATGATTTTTGTCTCTGATGTATGAATTTCTAGGAACAGAAATCTATTTCCAGTAGTTTAATTCAATTTCTATAACCACATTTGTAAGTTGCTATTTCCATATATGAAGACATACATTTTTTTTTTATCTAGATTGTTTCTCTTTTGTCATATAATTTCAGAACCTCTCTGTTGCTGTCATCTATTGTATTATATGTCTATGGCCTATTCAAGGGGTAAGTTATGTTTTAAAGAAGGAACATGAACAGCTTTGACATGGTTTATACTTACCACCCTACTATCCTCAAAATGTTTCATGGTTGGTTGCTTGGTCATTTTTGCTAGCAAATTCCCACATATCAAGTTAAACTGACTGCTCTATTTTGATTCTTTTCTCAGTTTTTTAACCATGGCTGTTAGATACGTCCTCCTGCAGGCATCTGGTACTTTCCTGGGTTCTTACAGATAATTTCTAGTTGTTCAGAGATGGCTTGTGTTAGGACTTTCAGATGCTCTGCTTTTGAATACATGCATTTTTTCTAAAAATTTTAAGTATTATTTCTAGAATTCCTGTTTCTTTGCAAAACTCTGCATTTCTACATGTACAGGCAGAATTAACCAGCTTTAGAAGAATGAAGCAAAAAGTCACTGTGTACTTTATTCTGTCCTAGTGTATCTTTTTATTTTTGCTTCTTATCTGCTTAAGTGATGGATCGATAAATCGGGTGTGATTTTCTCCTGTTTTTAATTCAACTATACTTAAAGAACCTTATTTTGCTGTTTTTCCAGAACAAGTGGCTGAAGTGCAGTTGGTCCCTGGACAGGTATGAAATACTGTGTCCACAGTGCCAAATACCAATGCTGGTACCAAATAGCTGAGTATACCAATGTATTGTACCATCACCCTTGACAATTTCTCAGTAGAGACAGTTTCAGCAAATTTTGGCATCTTCAGTTTGAGAGAATTTCCAGTTAAAGCTTAACTGTAGGCATATATCTAAATTAAGAATGAATGGAAGAAATGCTAACTGTAGTTTTGTGGTAAGAGCACTCTGCTGGCACTAATGGTGGGAAACTTCATCTGTATTCACTACATTTTATTTTCCTATTTTATGTCTGAAGCATGGAAAACAAAAGCAGTTCTTAGAAGTGGCATGTATGTGTGTAGATTAAGTACTTTTTTCAAACACAAGAAAAAGATATTAACTTCATGATTTTGCTTTTTACTCACCTTTATACAGGTATGTCACAGTTTTACCTCTGCTGGCAACTAAACACCACAGTCACTTGCTCATTCCCTCACAGCAGGATGAAGGAAAGAATCAGAAAGGTAAAAGTAAGAAAACTCGTGGGTTGAGATAAAGTCAGTTTAATAGGGAAAGCAAAAGCCACATGCACAAGCAATGAAAAACAATTAATTCATTCACAACTTCCCATCAGCAGACAAGTATTCAGCCACCTCCAGGAAAGCAGGGCTCTATCACGCATAATGGATACTTGAGAAGACAAACGTCATCACTCTGAGCATCCCCCCTTCCTCCTTCTTCCCCCAGCTTTATATGCTAAGCATGATGGAATAACCCTTTATATGGTATGGAATAACCCTTTGATCAGTCAGGGTCAGCTGTCCTAGCTGTGTCCCCTCCCAGCTTCTTGTGCACCCCCAGCATACTCACTGGTGAGGTGAGGTGAGAAGCAGAAAAGGCCTTGGCGCTGTGTAAGCACTGGTCAGCAATAACTAAAACATCTCTGCATTATCAACACTACTTTCAGCACAAATTCAAAACATATCCTCGTACTAGCTACTATGAAGAAAATTAACTTTATCCCAGCCAAAAGCAGAGCAAGGTAGAAACATGGTGTTCAGTGGTGCCAGTGTAAATTTATATATTAAAAATACAATTAATTGGTATTTTTTGATGCAAATAGAGAATTATTCATGGTTATACATAACTCACCGCTTCTCAGGCCACACCTGGAGTACTGTGTCCAGTTCTAGCCACCACAATTCAAGAAAGACATAAACGGACTGAAGGGGGTCCAAAGGAAGACCACAAAGATGAGAAGGCTCAGGGAGGACCTTATCACAGTATTGCGGTACTTAAAGGGAAGCTAAAAAGAGGGTGGAGGCTCTCTATTCACAAGGAGAATGTGAATAGACCCACATGGAGAAATCAACAGGAAATGGGTACAAGTTGCACCGGGAGATGTTTCATCTCAATCTAAGAAATAAATTATTTACAATGAGAAAAAATATTCACTGAAACAACCTCCCCAGGGATGTGGTAGAGAACTCATCACTGGAGGTTTTCAAGATACAATAATCTCATCTAGGCCCCCTTTCCCATGAAAGGTTGGACCAGGAGGTCTTTCGAGGTCCCTTCCAACCTGGACTGTTCTATGATTCTATAAAAGCAGTGCCTCTGAGTGGATCTTGTCTGTTAACACCAGCCCATTATCTGAAATCCATCTTGAAATTCTACATTCAGAGAGATTAAAATCCCTAAGAATGCTAATCCCTGTCCCATTTCATTCTCTCCCTCTAGCTTCGATCCAGTTTGTGCTGAAGTCATGGGGAAGGTATCCTTTGTCATTAATTAAGGTGTGTCAGATCCATATTTTTGCTAGTGGTCTTTCCTGTGAAGATGTTGCCCGATTTAAAACATTTTTTGGAAGAAAAAAAAAAATTCTATATACTAAATAATTATAAGTAGTCTAGAAAGACTGAGTTTGGCTAGAAAGAGAAAAAGGGCATTTCCTTCCAGGTGACAGCTATAGAAACTGAGCTGTTAAGTTTATCTGAATATGGTTAGTTGCCATTTTATTCAGCAAATGAGTGTGGTCAAAGCAAGCTAAAGATCTCATCTTTGAAACAAAAGCCCACTATTCACCATTGTCACTGTAAAGGCCACTGCAATGTGATTATTACAGTATTATTATTGATCTCATTTTCTAGTATACAGCATTCAGATGATCTGAGAGTGCATTGGAAAGCTCTTGCTCTAACCACTTCTCATTACTCCTCAGGCTTTACAGTATATTTCATACTTTAACTTTGTTCCCAGTTTAGTTCTTCCTATGCATTCTTCAAATGCTTTGTCCATTTTCTTATTCTGATCTTCACTGAAAAGATTCTTCCAGTCACTTACTCCACCTTCAAAGAAGCAAAGAAACTTTTGAAAACCAAGAAATTTTGTTTATTTTTGTTCTCTAGATCTGTCATTCTTGTTCCATTGTACACTAAATTGAGTTGACCCGTTTTTCAAGACAAAACTTGACTCATTTTTGCACCAATATAATTTTGTGAAGTCAGTGAAGCTAAAGCTATGTGAAACTGCTATAATACAAAATAACGTACTCGTCTTCGGGGGACTGTGTCCAAAAAAG